CGCCGCGAGATCAAAGTATGTTCAGTTAAGATTGATATTGATAGCTTGGACATGTAAAATATTCGTAGTTACCCTAAATATTGTGCTCTATCGAATGTTTCTTTTTAATAACAATAATAATGACTGTCTTTCACATTAATTTGGAATGTTTGAACACTATGATGAAACAAAATACAGAATATGAACCAAATGTGGAGAGTGCTGCAAAACTCATCTAGACAGCACAGCTCTACTGTATAATACCATGAATGTGTATGCGTGCGTTTGTGTATGTGTGTGTGTGTATGCGGAAGCTTACGCAGCAGCGCCTGGACCAACTGCCCCGGACCATAGTACGTCACGCTGTGCACGGTCCGTGCCGTGGCATTTCCGCTGGCAGAGAATCTGCGGCAACAACTGCCACAAACAATTTTGACATTGCACTGACTGGACGAAGAACGTGGAACGGCGACGGGCTTGGCGGCTGCGGCGAAAAGTGCGCTGGCCCGGATGTGCCACAGGATGTGCAAGGATATTGTGAAATCAACGTAATGGCGGCATTAACATGCATGCATATACCTGCTCTAGCATCAAAGGGAGAGATCTACCCCTCACCATCAAAAAAACAAAAAAGAAAGCCAACAAAAGAAAAGGAAATTATATTTTTGGCAAGCATTATCTTTGCTCGCTGCCTTTTTCATTACAAACCAACAAAATAAATAAATATATAAATAATTTATTTGATACAAGCCCAGTGCTGTGGCGTATTAAATTCCACTGCCAATTGTAGAATTTGTTTGTTTGTGGAGAGCCTGTGTGTAGGGAGCGCCAAGGGCTACATTTCAATTTTAAATGAAACATGGAATCTCACTTGCACGCGAAGGATACAAACGACGAATGAAATACACTCAACACGGCATACCTACATACATATGTATATACTTTTATTGTATATAATGTACAATTGTGTATAAGTATGTATATGTGTGTGTATGCCTGTGCATTCACATAGTTGTGAGCATTTCAATTTAAATTTACAAACCGCTCGAATGACCTTAAGCCACTTTAAAACAGCCACAAATCTAAATGGACCACAAGAGCTGTTTATTTACAACTTAACTGATGCTCTGTAGCTGGCAACGGAACTAACTAAAAACTGTAGTGTAACTAAAAATTGTTAAGGATATTACAAAGCTTCAACTGCTTTTTTTATGTTTGTTAATTTTTGTTTTGAAGACGTATGAGCATACTTAATTCTTGATTCTAGTTCACGAAAGTAGGCATTAAATGCGACTTATATTCGATTGCATTGAAGGCTTCGTCCGAAAATATCGAAACAATCGAGTGCGCCACCATCAATTTATATTTAAACAATTGGACATCACTGTACAGCAGAGCTTATATACACATACATATACATATGTATATATGACTATGTAAGAACAGTTGCGTACATAAGTATGTACATATCGTATCGTATATGTCATCTTCAGCCTTAGTTTCGATGGAACTCCTCGCACTCTTTGCAGGCTTATGTATCAGAAGTGGGCGGTAAGCGAAAGCGCCAACAATTGCGAGCACACACACACATATACACATACATATATATGTTTGTACATACACGCACACAAATATAAATACAAACAGAGCCACAAACGCTCGCGCAAGCAAGCACAAAAGACAACAACAACGTACATACACTGCCATGCACTTGAATAGGGACAAGATTTTGTAGCATTTGTATTGTGTTTTTCTCTTTTTGGCAAAGGGCTGCCTTCAAATGCTTTGGTGTTTCACTTAGAATGCAGCATCAGGGAACTGTACAAATTTACAGTTAGCTTTTAATAATTAACCGTTATGGACTATCACTGTTTTGCTTTTGACTATGCTAAAAACACACAGTTTTTGCCATGCACTTGAATAGGGACAAAGAAGATAACTTTAGTGTGTGTGCAACTATGAACACAGAAGGTTGTATTTTATTAAAATACATATATTTTGATTAAAAACAAACCAAAATGGGCCGTGGTCAAACACTCACTTCTGAAGAAAAGGGCAAAATATTAGCATTTAGGGTGTGACATGAATATACGACAAATTGCCGAAAAAATTAACAAAAGCAAGTCTGTTGTTGGAAATTTTCTCAAAAACCCATTGATGTACGGGAAAAATATGAAAGGACGCACATTAAAGGCACTTACATCTTCAGACGAACGACGCGTTCTTCGGGAAGCGTCAAACTCACATTGCTCCGCATCTGCAATTCGCCTAAACTTGGGAATAAATGCAAGTGTTGAAACAGTGAGACGTGTTATACGGAAAGCAAAACACCTTAAAAGATTAAGACTAAAAAAAAAAACCACCTCTGACAAAGCCACGTAAAGACATGCGTCAGCTCTTTGCCCGAAATCATATGACATGGAATAAGGAGTGGCATCGAGTGCTTTTTTCTGATGAAAAACGATTCAATTTAGATGGACCTGATGGTTTCAACTTCTATTTCCATGATATACGTAAGGAGGAACACTACCTGGCTCGTCACCATAGCCGTGAAGGGGGTATTATGGTATGGGGCGCAATTTCATATTACGGGACAAGCGAGCTCAAATTTGTATCATCAAGCTAAACGCTACTTCATACAAAAGCTTGCTTGAGGAGGCATTTCCTTACTTTGGCAACATTTTTGAGCCTATATCTTGGATTTTCCAGCATGATAATGCCCCGGTTCATACCGCACGTGTAGTCAAAAACTGGATAAGCAAGCAGAACGTGTCCTTATTGGAGTGGCCCCCTTACTCTCCTGATCTCAATGTAATTGAGAATGTATGGGGATGGCTTACACGTAAAGTGTACGCGTCTGGAAGACAGTTTGCAGACGTCCAATCATTAACAGAAGCCATAGAAAGCGCCTGGAGCGAAATTTCATTAGACTATATAAAGTCCTTATATGATTCCCTTCCTCACCGAATCTACGAGGTTATTTCCAATAAAGGCGGTTACACACATTATTAATAAAGCCAATATTAATATAATAAAAAAAACTGTAAGGTCATTTTTTAATTAGCTTGCAACATATAGAATGTTAAAGTTTTTGTCCCTATTTAAGTGCATGGCAAAAATGGTGTGTTTTTGGCATAGTCAAAAGCAAAATAGTGATAATTCATAACTGTTAATCATTAAAAGCTAACTGTAAATTTTAACAGTTCCCTCCTGCTGCATTCTAATTGAAACACCAAAGCATCTAAAGCCAGCCCTTTCCCCAAAATAGAAAAACACAATACAAATGCTAGAAAATCTTGTCCCTATTCAAGTGCATGGCAGTGTACATATGTACAATAAGAACACAGTAATGCGAAAAAATGTTAAAATTTCATAAACCAAAACTCAAACAACAACGCAGTGGCCGAAAGTTAAGTAAAAATGTAGGTAACCAATGGCCACGGGCTGGAAAAAAGAAGTCGCCGTCGCCAACATCGTCATCGTCATCGCCATGGCCAACATCATCTGCTCTACAGGGCAGCAAAAGTTTTATGGGCGGGCAGCTAAAAGCGCCGACTAGCTCGATTTTTCCTTTTTGGCAGGCGAACGAACAATAAATTCGTACAATAAAGTTGAGGCGCTCTCGGCCCCCTCTCCATGCAGGTGGGCCCTATTTGATTTTTACCTGAGTTATTACACAACTGGCAACTGCATAAACACAACGACGCACCACAGCCTCAGGCACATAAATTCAATTAACAAAGCATTTTTTGTATTCCTGTTTGGTGGTCGACTTACCTGCGAACCTGCCGTGCAGCTGGGACTGCCTTCCAGATAAAAATCATAAGCAATTCATAAGCTGTGTGCCATAAAACAGTTTCGGCATCAAAGACCAAGAAATTCCACGAAATTGGAATAAGGCACTTCCAAAAACAAATACTTAATGCGAGAACCGATTTTAGTGATATAGCAACAGCAACCTTCACTTTAAAACAAAATGCACTACTGATATATTCTATACTTTTAAATATGCATACTTATACTTTTATACTTCTGCGAAAAATTCACTGCTGCAAGCCGGCACTTTTGCAAATTAATTAGAAGACGCGTAGCTGTTAGAGCTGGCACAAGCATCGATAAATCAAATATCGCTTTTTAACTTTTTCAGATCGATTTTGTTGTATTTCGCGACTTGTTCAAATGCAGACGAAGTACTAAAAGCTATAGAAAATAATTAATGTGGATATATTTTTATCTTGAAATGCACAGCTGCGAATCAAAACTCATGTACTGTCTTCTCTGCTTTCTTCGCTTCTTTTCCTTCATTGCTAGTATTTTGTGGCTGCGATTTTGCCCTTTGCTATCGATATTTGAACAGAAATTAGTGTATTCCCCACAATTGCATAGTTTAATGATACAAAAAACAAAATTTCAAAAGAAAAGTTGAACTTTTTTAAACAGAATTATAATTCGGTTGTTAAACTAACTAACCCATGGAAAAAACGTTCATCATTATAATACAATTGCATAAATTTCTTTATATGTTAAAAAGTTTATAAAGCTCTATTTTGATCAACCTGATCAACCAAATAAAAATCAGTTGCCGAATGTTCAGTTAATGCGTTCTATTTTTTTTTTTTTTTTTTGTGTATTGTGGTTCCATTTTCTACTTCTTAAGAATTTAAATTAGCACGATAACACGATACAGCTATTGTCTAATATAGATAAACCTCTTAAGCATTTGAAAAACCTCTCTTACTCAAGGGTAAAACTTATAGAATTGGTTTAAACAAGCAAGCAAATGTTCTAAAATCAATGTTGATCTCCATATGTCTTGATGTGTAGTTTCCATTGTAAAAACGTCATCAGATCGAAGTTTGTACATCTGCGGTTTTTCTGCTTTTTTTCCAAAAGTTCGGAAGCTCCAACTTATTATAGGTCGTACATTTGAACGCCTACTCGCCAAGCGGCAAAAAATGTTTCAAATATGACACGAGATATTGATATTTATATATCAAGCCTGTTCGATTTTCAGTTCAAAAAATGTTAAAATAAAATTCTCCATGAACCTTTGGCTTTTGCACGGCAGCACGTCACAAATTAGGCAACAGACTGGCGAACGCTGCAGAAAAAATTCGTTGTACCATTTTAAATGGCGACAGCGCCAAAGCGAAAAGCCAATGAGCCAGGTGAGCCGGGGCTGATGCCAGATCCACATGACAATAGTCAATGACTAAAACATCAACCTACTTAGCTGCTGCTTCTTCATCACAAGACCTAGTCAATGATCAGGCCTCGGGTCGTCGCCAGGAACAAAAAGTCTATACATTCAACAACGAGCCGAAGCAAGCAACTGCAGCCAAAGACGACAAAACTAAGCCACAGAAGACCATACTTGAGGAGCATGGCATTATACTGGGCAAGGTCATAGGCACAGGTAACTATGCGAAAGTAAAGATCGGCTTCTCCGAGGAATACAATAAGCGTGTGGCCGTCAAGATCATATCAAAGGTGAAGGCGCCAACGGAATATACGCAAAAGTTTCTACCTCGCGAAATAGAAGCAGTCAAGGGTCTGCATCATGAGAATCTCATTACCTTCTATCAGAGCATTGAGACCAGTCATCGGGTCTATTTAATAATGCAGCTGGCCGAGAATGGCACTTTGCTGGACTACGTGCGTGAAAAGAAGTTTCTGGACGAGCCCCAGGCCCGCACCCTCTTCCGACAGCTCATCAGCGCCGTAGAGTACATCCACAGCAAAAATGTCGTCCATCGTGATATCAAATGCGAGAATCTGTTGCTCGATGAGAACTGGAATCTGAAGCTCATTGATTTTGGGTTTGCGCGCAAGGACACAAAGACAAGCGACAACCAGGTGGTGCTCTCAAAGACCTTTTGCGGCAGCTACGCCTACGCCAGCCCCGAAATATTGAAAGGTAAGGTAAGCGACCCACCCGACAATTGTCAACAGAGAAAAACTAGAAAATCTTCCACAACAGGCATTGCATACGATCCTTTTATGTCTGATGTCTGGGCTTGTGGTGTGGTCTGCTATGCTATGGTCTTCGGTCGTCTACCCTACGATGGTTCCAATGTTCACATCCTGCTGAAGCGCATCAATCAGTCCCTGGTTTTCCCCAAGGCGCCAACTGCGTCCAGTGAGTGTAAGCACATGATAATGCATATATTGGCGCCACTGAAAATCCGATACGATATTCAAGCCATAAAGGAAGATACCTGGTTCACCATGAAAACCTAAAAATTCTGCAATATACTTAACAGCTGTAAAAGTGCGCGCTGTCGTCAAAAAAGTATTACTAAAATAGAGCAATTTGTCTTGATTAAAATTGAACACATTTTATACAAATAAATGTAGAAAAACAAAATAATGGAGTCTTACGTCTAAAATTAAGGGAAAAAGCACCCAATTATATTATCGCCCCTATTCAGAAAAGCATATTTTTTTAGCATTAGAGGTTGGTTTCTTAAACAGAGGATCTGTATTGGTGTTTCAAGATAGCTATACAGTTTTCTATAGAAATAAAGTACTGATTTAACAGAAATTCCCTGACAATGATAATCGTTGGTACAAATAATTAATACATTTTATATTCGTATTGATATTAAGTTTGATAAATCGCGCGCAAAAGGTCATTCCATTCCACCTTTCGCACTTTAGTTATTTTTGTGAAAATATTGATAATCAAGTGATTGACTCAATTGTAAATCGAAGTCTGGCGCTGCAGTGAGGAGCTTCAAAAGATGAGAAGAATCTTTCCAACCACAGTCATATACAACTTTTTTAATAATTTTATTAATTTACAAATAGCAATAATTATTAAATTAATACAAATCAGTGGGTTAATTATCAAAATAAGCTATGAATAAATGCACCGTTATCTACAAAATTATATATTTTAGACTAACTTGCACATATGGTTCATTTTATTAAAAATTACGATTTTATGATTATTGTTTTGTAATCTAAAAATATCTGCATTTGCACTTTTACTTAAATATTTCCGATTGGGTGCTTTTTATTAATATGCATGTATGTCAATTCAGATTATACATTTCATCCACATGACCGACCACCTGATTAGTATTTAACACTTTGCACAATTTATTTATTTAAATAATAATCCAAAAGTAACGGTGATAAAGTGAGTTTAAATTTCCACCACTGCTTCAACCCTCGCTCTGAGCAAACGAGCCTGTCGTTCCACTTAAGTTGGCAGCTCGGTTGCCTCGGCAACCAAAAACAACGACAACTCTGCCAAAACATTAAAACCCAATCAAGAGAAACAACACGACACGAGACGGCTTTTACAAATGTTTCACAATATTTGAACCTTCAAAATAAAATACGATTGATGGCGGAGGTGCACATAATTGGCCAAATACTTAAAGCTGTTGATTTCGTCGAACCACATTTGTACTGCAAGTGGATTTTGCAGAGCGGTAAGCATTCCCTACCAATACAAGTGCAATGGCAACTATAACTGTACTGGGACTTTGCACAGGCAACGCCTGGCGTTTGGTTCAAGGCGAGGCTCAGGGACAAACGCCCGTTTCGTCACATCGCCTGGAAACCTGCGCCGACTTCTCGCAACCCCTGGACGTGCATTTGAGCGCAGCAGCTGTGCAGGGTTGGCCGCGTCTCCTTGTCGAGGTGTACGCCGTTAACGTCTTGGAACAAAGTTGGCCTGTGGGCTACGGTTTCGTTCACGTACCGACACAACCGGGCTCCCATCGCCTAGAGATCAATACGTGGAAGGTGGCGCCGGCCGGCTGGTGGAATTGCATAAAAGAGCGTTTTGGGGGCGGTGGCGCAGCTTTAAGTAAAACCGATTTGTTATATTCAGGTGTGGATCGGTGAGTGCGAATGGGCGGGCCCTAGATAGAGGTGGGATAGTATGCATATATATACAAGTATATATATATTCTTTTTTCTTAGTGATCCATTTCCATTGTCATAATAAGTCCATGTGAAATCACTTATTTTTCCATTTTTGGTAAAAAATTGAAATTCTTTTAAGTTATCCATAAGCGAACAAAAATTTTCGTAGTTATATAATTACTTTTTCTCTCTCTATTAATTTTTTTATTTTAAACGTAAATTATCAACTTTTTTAATGGAATTACATGCTTTCTGTGCCAAAGGGTTTCTACAAATCCGCTGAATTGATTTAAACAACAATTTTCTTTCAATTACAGCTACAAATTGCAAACTCGCAGCTCCGGCAAAGTGATCGTAGATCTGAATTTAGTATTTCGCAAATTTGAAGAATACGGCGTAGAGTTCAATTAGCTATGGCTACGGGTAGGTTTCTTATCTACCTCAGCCTACTGGTGGGCATCACTCAGGGCATTAAAATTGGTATATCACCGACTTTGAATCCAAATACAACAACCGCAACACCACAGACCTCAACTGAAATGCCTCCCACAACACTTGGATTGGATTTGAGTAGCGCCGGCAGCAGTAGTTCTGAGGATACATTCACGGCGAGCAGCCTACCTCCTAGTAAACAGCAGAACACTACAATAGCAACAGCCAGTACAGAAGCACCCAATGCCTCAACCGATTCAACTGCTCTAGCGACGGAGCCTCCACAAGTTGAGACAGCTTCCCCAAATCCCCCAGTAAAACCTATTGCTCGCTATCCCTATTATTGCTCCTGTGATGTACTCGCCGGAGTCTGCGATCTCAATTGTTGCTGCGATCTTGACTGCCAAGCTGAAGCGCTCAAAGTCTTCAATTGCCTCGCAATGACTGATCATCCGCAGCTACAACTGCGTCTGGAGGATTTTCAATATACCCATGGTCTGCCCTCGTGTAAGATAAACGATGGCTGGTTGTGCGTTTTTCGCACGAACACGAAACCCGCCAAGCAGCAGGTGAGTCTAGCCGCAAAGTAATATTCGAGATTAGAAATTCCCCATCTCGGAGATGGCAATAAGAATTTGTGCTTTACTATATATACGAATATTTGCAACGATTCTTAGTAGAAATTGTTATCGTCTCCATCATTGCTTAGATAAGTTTTAAATAAAAGCTACTATTTGTAATTATTAATATATATAAATGGATCTGGAAAAAGTCTATTTATTCCTAAACTAAAGAATAGTATAAAAGTATAGCAGAATATTGCTGTCGAAACAAATTTTAAAAGACAATCAGATGCATTTTTTTGAACGTCTAAAATCTCCCTACAAATAGTAGAACTAATATTTTTTCTGACAACATTTGTAACTTGATTTAAAACGGATCAACAAATTTTCTAATTGTTGATAGTGATTTTTATATTAATGCTTAGTTTCTTGCTTTGCAGTTGTTTAGCAACAATTTTGATACCAAAGACTACTACAAATGGCCAGAACCACTTCGTGCCTATGAGACAACGCCACTAGCTCAGGAGTCAGTCTTTTACAAATATGAGCAGCCGCTACAGTTGTGGCAACCGGAAACCAAGGAACTGAAGATCTTCGGTAGGTAGCACAACAAATATTTCAGTTATAGCTTTAGCTGCCGGACATGCAATTCCTTTTCGTTTCCCTCCTTTTTAAATGCAGAAATACCCAGTGCCTATGAGTCCGTCTTTTGCCAGATACAGCAGCCCATTCGTCATCTGAAAGGGATGAGAAGTAGTTGCCGATTAGCGGATATATCGCAGCTACAGCACAATCTCTTGACTTTGCTAAACTTGACTAGCACACATCGATTGCTGGCGACGCCGCGCAGTGTCCAGGACTTAATGGAACAGCCTGGTGAGAGTGAGGGCGAGAGTGTTGGGCTTGATATTCAAATATGCCTGCACTCTTCGAGTGACAAAGTTGTGTGCAATGTCACCGATGTGCAGCTCGATATATATTCGAGGAACATGAAGCTTCTCCTTTATCACAACTACACGCACATTTTGAACGCGAAACTTGTGCTCAAGGAGGAGCCATCACACCCGAACGAGCTGGAACTTTGGCAGGATTATGTGGTGGAATATGTGCTAGGTAATGGCACCGATGTGGAATTGAAACCGTCGCACGCCGAGAAGCCGACATCGGGACCGCTGGGCTATTTGCAGGGCTCTCCAGTTCTGTTGGCAAAGTTGGTGCCACAAAATGACAGCGAATTGCCGCAAATCCTTGACTACTATCACGAAAATGCTGGCGCTGGCCATTGGCTGTCCCTGTTCACCAAGCAATCGCGTGGAGGCAACTGTCGGCGCAGCCCAGAGAAACGCCATGCCGCACAATATGGCGTAGACATCGCCAAGCAGTGTCTGCTGCGCATGGAGGGCGAGAATGATTTGCTGTTGCTCAGCAAAAATTACACGGACTACTGCCAGCGACTGCAGGCGGAGATTTGGGCGCAACTGTTGCCGCAAAATTGCCACAATCTGGCGGATATATCCCAAATATTTATCTCTCAATTGGGCAGACCGCAAAGGGACAAATGGTTGCCCTTGCAGTTGCACTACGAGGGCGAAGACGCTGGGCCGCCACCCGTGCGTGGCGACTATAATGAGGAGCAGCGAACGTTCAGCTGCCGCAACATGCTTCTCAGTGTTCGTTACGAGTTCCATGTGGCTGCGATGACGCTACTCCAGGGGCAGGTAGCGCATCAGCGTTTGGTGCAACATGCGTCGCTGGTGTTGGGCGAACGACACGATCTGGAGTTTGATGGCGGGGAGGAGCAGGTAGAGGTGCCACTGGCTGTCTCCGTAATGTTTTACGATGCGCAAAGAAAAAGTTTAAATGGAGCTGCAGCTTCCATCAAGCACCTCTTGGGGGCTTGGGTTGTGTCCTTTTCAATTGCCACCTCATTTTATTTCTAGTCAGTACGGCCAACATTGTAACGTACTCGATTCATTAACTAAAAAGATGAACAATTAATTGACATGTTAAAAAACAGAGGCAATAAAAGCTTCCGTTTTTAATTAGACCAAGAAGAATGTCCGCTCATTAAACATATTTATATTTAAATCTCTTCTTTTTAAATTGGTTATTTTAATCATTTATCCTCATATGTTTTTCTGTTAACATTGTTTTTCTGTGCAACAACTCTTCCAAAATGTGAAGACGGCTTTAAAAATGATTTTATTGAACCTTGAGCCTTATAAAATATTATCTCTTTATGAAAAGTCGCCAAATAATGGTTCAGTAAGTCTTATCAACTAAAAAAAAGCAATTTATTTTATTGTTTTTCGCATTCTCCTCTTAACTCAAAACCCTTTCCCATTTCTGCAAGTATTGAATGTACTATATATTTTTCTCCTCCCTTTGGCCTTTCATGATGTCTAAAGTTTAATGATGAATCCGTTTCTCTTTTAAAATACTAGACTTAAATGGATGTGATGAATACATAATTTTTAGATGTGCGCTCATATTTAAAAACACAATTTGTTTTTTATTTTCCCTCAGTAGAAATGTCATTTGTATTTTTCCAAATAACAATAACTATTTAAATTGTTGTAAAAACAGATATGTTCTCCAATAAACTGAAAGTTTGTAGACATGTGTTGGTCCTTGTCGTGCTTATTGAACTGTTATGTGCCAGGCATGGTAAGATTCAGATAATTCATCAATAATAACAAGTTTCAATTACATTTTGCAATCTTCAGTGGCGTCGCTGACTTGCTTTTATTATGTTGGTGCCCATTTTGTTTACAAATATGTGGCAATCGGAACCAAAAACCTGCTAAATGTTTTACTTAATGCTTTGACTCCACATCATCCTTTCCTTGCACAACAGCTTTAGCTTTTAATTTAGTTTCCTATTGTATTGTACATACATACCTATGCAGATGTTTTGCCATTCATAAAGAATAAATTTATCGAAAAAAAAAACTAATATCTTGGATAGCTTTTATTTCAAAGGCATTAATTTTATATTTCTTCACAGTAAGGGTTGCAATTGTATTTTCCAAATTTAAACAAATCTTTTTTAATTTTGTTACAAAGAATGACAATAAAACAAAAATGTTCGAAAATAAATTTAAAGTATGTAGAAATATTATGATCCTTGCCTTGCTACTTGATATGTTAAGTGTGCGGCGGGGTAAGATTCAGAAAATGATTGAATAGATACAATTTTTAACATAATTTTTCTATTTTCAGTTGCGTCGCTGAGATGCGATACTTTTTATGGTGTTCGCGAACGCAGAACCCCTAATTCGGTTACTTGCACAGCACGTGCGGTTGAAAAGACGGTTGAAGCAATGGAGGATTTGTTCGAGAATGTGCCAAAACTTCATAACGGTACCTACGTGTGTTTGAAATCGATTGTGATCAGGAAACGGAATGGTAAGGAATTAAAGGGGAAACTATTTTACACTGCTGGCCACGTGTTATTTCAGGAATGTATTTGGAAACAAAAGGCTGCGTGTATTGCGAAATGGATGCATGTTCCTTGCAAGTACAAAAGACCGCAGATAAATTTGAAGTCGACGTTTGTGAAATTTGCAATACAGCAGATTGCAATTTAGCGGGCTTTCTTGGGAGCACTTGGAACATCATTCTGGGAGCATTACTGTCTTTACATCTAACTAATACCTGTGTGCATTAGCAAACAAAAAGCCAAGATTATATCCTTAACAATAAAGCTTTGTTTCAACAACGTCAGAAGGAAGTTGCCAAAATTTGCTATGGAAGATATAAGCAAACTTGTCAGATAAGAAAATCGTTTATTCTACTTCAGGCATAATATAAAATATTCACTGTTGTACTGTAGAGGCTTTCAATTATTTCCCCAAATCCATTTATTGTACCCAAGTACAGTGAAAACAAACTATTTTAAGCGCAAAATCTAAAAAAACAAAACTAAGAAATTGTACATTTTATATGAAAGAACACATGGCAGAGCAATTATTGAATGCTCCGTTTAAAAAATATAAATGAAGATCGTCACAATTAAAGTATGTCCCGGCGACACTTTCGCAACTGTTTGCGCAACAGGATGGCATCTATCTCTGCCTGCTTTCGTCGCTCCTCCTCCTCGATGGCACGTCGGATTTCCTCCGCCTCGTTATTGGCTCGCTCCGAAATGGCATGGACTTGGGGTAGAAAGTCCAGAATGTTCTTGCGTATTAAATACTGATAGTTCATTGCAATTGAGTACTTGATGTCGTTGCCACAGACTTGGCCCAACTCTACCCAATGGACATGCATCCAATTCTCGTTTCGTAGATCCTGAATGCTATTATAGATGGGCACAAAGTTGTCAATCTTTTTAATGAATGTGCGGGCCACTTCCATGATCTCCGGTTTCTCGTTGAAGTCCTGCAGGGAACTCTCCAGCTGGCTGCGCAAATTCATAAGATTGTTCCAGACATCATCCATGTCTAGTTGCACAATTGGATTACCCGTAGTGGCGTCCTCGAGTTTCTGAAAATTAGCACAGGCATACCATAACTTCTTGTAGGGCTCGAAACTGGAAACTATGCTCTCGAAGAACTCCATTGACAGAGGGTCCAGTTCAAATAGCGCCTGACGATACTGCAGCGTTTGTCCAACCTTTTCCAGCTCATTGATAAGCACCCAGGTCTTCTTCACATCCACGGAGGTCTCTTGGGCGCGATTCGGATTAAATTGGAGCGAGAAGGCCTGCACCTCATCATTGAGCGACTCCAGACGCTCCTCGAAGCCAGCACATTCGCTTGAATGTTGTCGCAGAAACTCCTCTATGTCGATCTTCTGTTCCTCCTTCAGTGTGGAGAGCCGTTGCATGATTTGATGCGGCCAGGCATAGACATTCCACTTCATAACAAACTGATGATCGCTCAGATTATAGAAGAAACTGTCCAGCAGATCGTACTCCAGCCACATGATCTGTATATCCGCACGCAGTTGATCGACCAAAGCGGGTACAGTCAGCGCATAGTCACGTATCTCATACAAATGTTCGATGCTAATAGGCCGCTCCGAAATCTTGTTGTACATGTCGAGGCAGCGCTCCAGCAATGCATCGTTCGTTTCGTACATTCGATCCACATAGTATTCGAAGATGCGACGCACAATATCGATGTGTTTCTTAATCAGGAACTGCTTCAGGGTGTCCACGTTGATGTGAAACGGTCCGATCGTAATGTAGGCGGGCAGTATTCGCCGGATCTCCTCCTTTTGCCGCTTGTGCTCCAATATGTCGAACTTCACCTGCGAGGAGGGTTTGTGGACGGCGGCATAGTCCACCATAAATTTATTGACATTCAACAAATAGAAGTTGATGAAGCGCTCGTACAGACGCGCATAGGCCCTCAGAGGTAACACCGCCTGGCCATAGCACTCCGCAATTAGCGCGTTCTGTTCAATGAACTTATCCTCGATTAGCTCGACAGTCAGTATATAGAGATTTGGGGCAAAATGCAGACCGGTCATTACATAAGCATCAACACAACGCACACCTGAAGTTTTCTCCAGTCCCCTCTTAAAAATGTCCATCACCAGGGGTTGAAATTCTTCGGGCTCTGTGGAGTAGTATACCCTGCGCTCTTCATTTATTCCTATGCTCAAGGCGAAGACTGGCTTCGGATACGGAAACTCGGTGTCTATATAGTTATTGGTCCAGATGTAGTTCTTCTTCAGTTTGAGAAACTGCAGACAGGGGTCGCAGACGAAGCGAGAGAAGGTGTAGAGCGAGGTTTCCAGCAGCACCTGCATGGACTCCTGCATTCGAAACTTCACCTGCAGAATGAAGCGTGAAATCTTGCACATCTCATACACCGGCCAGTTGGTGAGTGAAATGTCCAGCCACCCTTTCCCCAAGGCCCGCAGCACCACAGTAATGACCGATGTGATCTGTTGCGGCCAATAGACCTTCAGGAACGTGGCCACATTGTCGCTGTGCGCCTCCTGCGATTGCAGGAAATCAACCAACGGCATGGGCTTACTGAAGGTACAAACGAAAATGGCCATTGTCTCTATGTGCTGGCACTCCACAGCAACTCCGGACATCGCTTCAATGCCGCCACCGCAGTAGAAGAGCGTTGCCTTAAGCAGATCGTGGCGCTTCTTAACCATATCCAATTGCAGGGCTTGCATCTCACGTCGTTCCACCGCGGAAAAGTTGACGTGAAAGGCATGGGGTAGGAAGTCCTTCAGCGAGATGTTGCGAAACTGCGGAAACTCCTTGGGCATCAGCAGTATGAATTTCTCCAATTCGTAGAGCGCCATCAGACGCTCAAAGACCAGGTTGACTTCAGCACGTAAACGACGCTTGCCCTGCGATGAGATTTTCGCCCGCTCGAGCACTGCCTCGATGGGCTTGAAGGTGTAGAAGCTTGTCGACTCCAGATCCTCGTGCAGAACACAGTCCACAATAAGCTCCATCAGCATCAGTTGCTCGCCCTTGTGTCGCTCATGAATGGCTGCCTTCAGACGCTGTATATATCTGTGTGGATTCTCGGCAAAGAACATAAATTGTAGCTTCGGCACCAAATAGGTGCAATCATCCTCCAGCGATGTCAACGTCCACATATCCGTCTCTGGATCATGAGCACTTACCGCCGCCGTTACCCACCTACAGCTGACCAGGCCCCTGCTAAGCGGCAGATACGCCCTTGCCGGAAGCGGATAACGTTCGTCCCCCACAACGCCCAATTCAAACCACGCCTCGGGCGAGTTGATGTCATAGTTGCTGTCATCGAAGTAGCTCAGCGGAAACTTGTGGGGAAAGGCGAACTCGGAGAGCATGTTGTATTGCTCCTCTGTGGGTTGCAGAACATCGTCTGTGATGCCCGCCTTGAGCAGCTCCTCGGCCAGATTGATTTTCGCATATTGTCGCCGACGACGATCCACCTCAACATCCTTGGGCAGATGACGTTTGGGCACGTAGCGCGTCTGTATGACCTTTGGCAGTATGGTGGGTAGCGGAAAGCGATGGATCTTACCGTTTTTGTCCGTTAGCGATAGCCAGCGTTGTGCCTCCTGTATGGGATAGAAAACTTGGGCCAACTGGTGACGCGGTATGTAGAGTTCGTGGAAACTCTTGGTCGCTGTGCCCGGACGTGGTGGCAGAATACAAATGTGCTTCGGAAATATTTCTTCGGTCACTGCGCCCTGCATTGCAATCAAGGGTACGACGGAAGACGATGAACTGCGACTGGACTGGTTGCCGGAGGCTCTCGACTTTGTTGAATCATCGCTCCGGTAAGTAAGGGTATCAGTGCTATCACCTGACTTGTCAATAAATCTCCCAACGGTTTTGTCGTTGGCGTCCATATTTGAGAAATAGTCCTTCACGTTTAGGAATTAATTTTCTCTTACAATTTTAAAATATCGACGCTGTTTTCGAAAATTTTGTTCACATTTCTATTTCTTCCAGTGTGTCGTTCAGAATCATATTTCTATTTATTCAACAGTTAAGCTGAAAATTAATCAAATGCTTGGTATTATTTATTTAATTTTTCAACTTTTGTGTTTGTGTCAGGAAATAAATAATTAAACGGATCATCATAAGTCCTTAAATATTTAATGATAACAATATCGTCTACTAAAATTGACTTCTTTTTTGGTTTTAATTAAAGCAACAATTAGGAAAAAGTCGAAAGAAATATACATATGTATATAAAGCCCAACATCATTGATGAAGTTTAGCATTTAGTTTGGATCATCATTTGGAACATAGTTACAATAATCAAAGAAAAATAAATAGGTTTTATTCATAAATTGCTTTATTCAGCTTGATTATTTAATTTAAAAGATAAATAAATCAGTCGAAAATGCAAAGGCCAGTACAGTTTAATTGAACTAGACACAAAGAAACTGGTATTCAAATGAACGAGTGGCTCTTAAAACTGAACTAGAATTCCTAACTGTTAATATACATCATGCAAAGCATCTGTTATTTTATCTGTTGTGCTGCCACTGCCTTTTTAGATTCTGGAGCTGCCATACCGCTGAAATTACTTGATAGCTCAGCTGTTGTCCGCGTCGTTTTGATTTTATTTTCCGAATTTTAGAGTGTAATGCGCCATGGAGGATTGTAAGTCAAAATAATATTCAAATGTACATAAATTACATTAAACTACATTTATTGCAGCCAATTTAGATATAACAATGGCGGAGCCGGATCAAACGTCCTCATTACTAAACCACAATGTCAGCTTTAATAGCGGCATGGATTTTTCTTTGGCCGCTGAAAACGACGAGCAGTCGCTCCGCCTGAGCTTCAGTTTGACAGACGAGGAACGCAAGATGCTGAAACAGCAGCACAATGGCATTAAAAATAGTAATCACAGTCGCACAGTACTCAAGGACCTGTCTATGAATATAGAAAATGAAAGCGCCCGCCTCCAATTGAGCGAAGACAAATGCCAGAGCAGCTTAGATGACTCGACATTGGAGGAGGATAGTCAACGCATTATAGATGTAGATGACACAATTGAGCTAGATCAGACTACGGCAGCTGGCAATATAACGACCAATTTCTGCTTTGAAAATCAACTGCTGGAGGTAGGAAGGCGTTGCTGGCCATCGTCTGGGAAGATGCAAAATTACACAAAGGGCTGTTTCTGGTCGCCGGATGGCACGTGTCTGCTCGTTCCGGTGCACCAGGATGGCATGCATGTTATAGAACTGCCATTGGACTTGTACACTGTCAGCGAACTCGAGTCGGATCGCAATCTCAGCGCCCTACAGTCGGCAGTGCATGTGCCTGAGGGCGGCACCGTCTACGATTGCGTTTGGTATCCGCTAATGAGCAGCCAGCAACCAGAAACTTGCTGGTGAGTATCTGCACAGTGCCGGGATTGCTGTTATATATAATATGCTCTTAATTCCAGCTGGCTGGCCACACGCCAACACGAACCCATACACATGTGGGATGCGTTTGATGGCAAACTGCGCTGCAGCTACAGCGGCTATGATGAAGTGGACGAGGTGGTGGCTGCCATTTCTCTGGCATTTTCACACGATGGCGAGAAGATTTTTGCCGGCTACAAGAAGTCCATTAAAATCTTCGACACCAACAGGCAAGTCTCTTCTTATTCACTGTAGATGTTGCTTAGGCTTTGCCTGTCCGCAGACCCGGTCGCATTTACGACGATTACCCAGTGAAGCGCGCCATTTCATGCATGGCACAGACCACCGAGCAGCCGCGCACACTTACCTGTGGCAACTGGCACGGTTTCATAGAACATTTCGACCTGCGTTGCTCACCCAAGCAGGGTCCACTCTTCACGCTGGGCGGACACAGCGCAGGCATCACACAATTGCACTACAACTGCGACGGCAATGGGGGCAGCCACTGGCAATTGTTTAGTGGCGCCCGCAAGTGCTCCAAACTACTGCTCTGGGATATGCGCAACTATACAAAACCGTTGCGCGAATTTACGCGTAATGTGGAGACCAATCAGCGTATACTTTTCGACCTGAAGACCGTGGAACAGCAATCGTGGCTGGCCAGTGGCGATACAAAAGGACAGTTGAGGCTATGGGACCTGAAGGAGCAGGAGGAATTGGGTTTGGAGCTGCCACTGCATGAGGATTGCTGCAATGGTGTCAGTTTTCATCCGTCGTTGCCCATTCTGGCCAGCACATCGGGTCAGTATCATTTCTTTGGGGCAGAAGCCTTTCAAAACGGCTCCACGCTGGACAGCACGTTGACGGCGACAGAGGCGGAGCCGCTGCCCAGTGAGGAGCAGACTCGCGTCGTAGACTACGAGAATGCCGTCCTGCTGCTGTGGCATGGAAAATGTAAAACTTAAGACACTCTGAGCTTAGGTTTAAAATACAAAAATTGAACATTTATTGAACCAATTGCTAAATACTTTCATCCGGAACCCGGTACGGTGCGCTTGCTTTGCGACTGCTACAGAAGAGAGACAATTTAGTGGAAATGGAAATCACAATTAATTAATACACCCACCTTAGAAACGCTTGAGGAACTCCTCTGCACAGGTGCGGGCGCGTGCATTCACCGCCAGCTTCATTTCGCTAATCTCCTTGTCGATCTCCTCCATGAAACTGATGACAAAGTCGACCAGCTTGTGCTTGTACATCTGCTCCGTATGGAAGTTGGTGATTAGGAAGCTAATGTCATATCCCTCGATGGGTTTGCGACGCAATATGATGAATGATTCGGCGCGTCGCATCATAAAACGCGTGAATTTGTGGCACAAAATCCGCTCAATCTCGTCCGCCTGCTTCACCGCAATGCTCACACGCACCGAGTTGATAGACGGCTCAATAAGCACCTTTTCGCGCTCATTGCGAGACACCACAATGGGCGTTAACACCAATTCCTTGCTCGAGCAGATCTCCACCTCGGGCTTGTTGTGACGCTCCACTACCTGGGAAGGAAAGTCCTGCAGGCACATCGCGGCGGTCAACGAATGCCGAACGGCTGTTAAATAGGGCTTTAGAGTGGCGGCCATGTTGCGTGGAAGTTCTTATAAATTATTGGTAATGTAATTATTTGGTATTTGCACAATTTTGTTATGAATCAGTCGGCAACCCACATACGTACACACACCCGCAGCGTTGGAGCTGGCACGTTTCCATAACTGGCTCACTTACCGATAGCTACTAGTTCCACTGGTTCAACTGGAGCTTGATGCGAGAGCTGGTATTAAAATACTAAATTCAAAGTGAAAAGGTATTTATTTTTTATTGTTCAAATACCTTTAAATGTACTACATATTGCAAAACCTATTTTTTTTTTGAAAATAGCGCAACCAAACTGCATTTTGAGAATGGCTTTGCATGACTCGTGAGTCGAAAAAGGTGGCTATGGATGACCAAACAGTAAACACTTATAAACAGTACGTAAACACTGCTTTTTAATGTAAAATTAGATAGTTCGGATATTAAGTTAATATTTTAAAAGCGTACAGAAGCATCAAAAACATTTAAGTAACAACATTTGCTACACATTAATACATTCAGGCTTTTAAAATGAAATTCCATGAAGATTATTCTAGCTGCCGATATCCTTCAGATTGTATTTTAAGTGCAACTTCTACGCACACATATTCATACGTACATACATATGTACATATTTTTAAAATAACGCTAATATCAAAAATCCTACTTCTATATTTATTTTGACAACACTTTGAAGTTGCCAGTCAGCTGCCAAAAAACTCGCAAAATTAATTAATTTTTTTTATCACCTTCCAGAGTCGAAACGTCCCTCAAAGAGTTAACATGGACAACGTTGAAGAAATTCGTCAAATAATAGAGCGGTTTACGCGACAACGGCAGGAACATATACCCAAGGACTTGGATGCCTATTTTAGATACGTTGCCAAGACCGGCGATACTGTATTTAATTGGTCCAGCCTTAAGTACCTGTTCCGGAAGAAGTTGCTCCATGTGATTAACCACTTTGACGTGAACTCACCGCGTGTGGACGAAATACCCCACTACCCTAATGTAGATCCGTTCAATTATGGGAGTTTGAAGTTATCTCTATTGGAGTATCTGGATTGGTTCAAGGCGGCTCCTTTTACGGTGCAGCGGTTGTGTGAGCTCTTAATTGATCCCCACAAGCACTATTCTCGGATAGATAAGTACATGCGCGCCCTAGAAAAAAACTTACTGGTGATCAGCACCACTGAGCCGGCTACCAGCCGCACGGAGAACCAGCATTTATTTTCAAACGCGAGTATTGATGTCGATATGATGAATCAGCGTTTCGATGAAGTATTGCTGCCCCCGATAAAAATGGCCAAGTTAGATGATGATCTCAGGACGACAGGCAGGTTGCCAAAATCTGTCATCTGTTACGCTCTGCAGGAAGAAGTCGAGGCTGTGGAGAAAGTTGATATTACCGATAAGCAGTTCGGAGAGCAAGCTACTGGAGATTCCAATACCTTAAAGGCTGATTATTTTTAAATTTTGAATGTAAACAAAACAAAAAGTAAACCATCTGAATTTGGTTGCAATTAAAATATAAATAAAAGCGATATATACGGCGCATTGCGAAGCGTAAACAAACTGAAGTTGGCTGCACATCAAATGTAAACAAATTGGTGCTCTCCTATTGGCTGCATTTGAAATGTAAACAACTCGATCCTTGCGGTGCATTGCGAAAGGTAAACAAACTGAAGTTGGCTGCACATCAAGTGTAAACAAATTGGGGCTCTCCTATTGGTTGGCTCAAATGTAAACAACGCGATCCTTGCGGTGCATTGCAAAAAGTAAACAAAAAACAGCTGACCCACTTTAAATAAACAAGCAATGCAGCTGCCTGCTGCCCATTTATGTTCGCCTGGTAGATGGTGGGTTTATACGACGTTTTAAGGCCGACTTGGCCGGTTGCGAATTTAATTTTTTCGATTTTTGGTATTTAGCTCCATTTCGTTTATTTATACACCAGGCTAGCATAAGCGAATAGCAAGTAAATATGCCGGTTGGGATATAAATTTTAAATGTAAGCAAAACCAAAGGTAAACAAATTGAAGTTGGTTGCAATGAAAATGCAAGTAAAACGGTGCATGGCTAAAAGTAAACAAATTGTAAATGTAAACAAACGCGATCCTTGCGGTGCATTGCAAAAAGTAAACAAAAAACAGCTGACCCACTTTAAATATACAAGCAATGCAGCTGCCTGCTGCCCATTTATGTTCGCCTGGTAGATGGTGGGTTTATACGACGTTTTAAGGCCGATTTGGCCGGTTGCGAGTTTAATTTTTTCGATTTTTGGTATTTAGCTCCATTTCGTTTATTTATACACCAGGCTAGCATAAGCGAATAGCAAGCAAATATGCCGGTTGGGATATAAATTTTAAATGTAAGCAAAACCGAAGGTAAACAAATTGAAGTTGGCTGCAGGTCAACTGTAAACAAATTGGGGCTCTCCTATTGGCGGCAGCATTTGAAATGTAAACAACGCGATCCTTGCGGTGAATTGCGAAACGTAAACAAACTGAAGTTGGCTGCACATTCAATGTAAACAAATTGGGGCTCTCCTATTGGTTGGTTCAAATGTAAACAACGCGATCCTTGCGGTGCATTACAAAAAGTAAACAAAAAACAGCTGACCCACTTTAAATAAACAAGCAATGCAGCTGCCTGCTGCCCATTTATGTTCGCCTGGTAGATGGTGGGTTTATGAGTCGTTTAAAGGCCGCCGCCAACTTGGACTGTGCGAACCAGCAAAGTTGATGACGTATGTTATTCACGCGCGCCCGTTTCTTTAGCAAAATAGTTTTTTAAGTTTTCTCCTGTCGCCAACAGTAGTTACTATATTATTTATAGTTTATTCAACATCTGAAGATGCCGACAAGTAGCTCGATCATTCCTTACCATGGTAGGCCACAGGTCTTGGTTCGAAAACTGTAAGTTTGTTTTTAAGTCTTGTCCCTTTCTAAGAGCTGCTAGCCGTTTAGTAAAACTCGATTATGCTTTATTAGACCAATTATAAATATTTCTTTTATTTCAATTATGCCTTTTATTATACATTTATTATTAGTTGTTGTTTCTTCGTTTATGTTAACGTTATTTATCATTTGCTTATGTAAACTTAATTTTAAATATGCGTGAACCTAGAAAAACGTTTTGCATAGTAGCTGCTGCTTTCTTTCTTTAGAACGTTTAGTTTATTTTGAAAAATGTGACCGCAAGTTTTTCGCATTCGCGCTTTTTTCATACAAAAAGTTTCGAGTTTGTGTTGATTATACATACAGTAATACATTTATATATATTAGTATACATATATATATATCTATATATATATAATGGAATGTAATTTGAGTAAATATCGAAGCGTTTCTATCAATTGTATTGATGTGGTTTGCCATTTTCGTTTGCGTAAATATTTGCTTGAATATGTGTTATTTAAATTGGTTTCTTATTTGGATGTGTGGATGTTATAGTTTGTAGTTGTTGTTGTATTTAGTCGTTCGTGTTTGAATATAAGTAGTAGCCATATAGTATAGTTACACAATTAGTACACATTTATAACGTTGCCTTTTGTTGAAGCTAATTGTTGAATGAACGCATCTCGCAAATCATTATATAATTATAAAGAAATTCGCTGCAGTTGCAAAAATTTGCCTAAATTGTTCTCAGCTTGATCTTCAGATCCCGGATCCCCCATTTATCGTAAATTTCGTTAAACCTGCGTCGTCGTCATCTTCGTCGTCGTCTCCTCTAAATATAACCTGACGTTAGACAAAATATGCGTTTCATTATCAATTTGTAATATATATGTATGTATATTTATTTATTTATTCATTTATGTATAAATATTAATGCCTAATTGTGTATGTAAATGAAACAAAAATGCATTGTATTATTTTTTTTGTTTTTGTAAAGTGTTTTTATTGATGTTTTTTTGTTTGTAAAAGCATTTTTTATTCTTTATCATAGAGAAAACGCAACTTATATAAAAAATGGTTAGTGGTGTGGTGTATTTGTTGTTGTGTTTTTCATAAATTAAAATTAGTATTAAATTATACATTCTTGTGTTCTTTATTCAAGCAAAGCTAAATAAATATGACAGGCAAAGGTTTCTCCATATACTGCATACAAATTCTGTTCTGTTCTTTATGGCATTTGTAATAAAATGCGCTGCAAATCATTTCAAAATATATTTCTTGATCTCTGGTTATCGTTGGTTGCCTTTTAGCTCAATGTTTGAAAGTTAACATTGAAAATTTAATTGTATATAAAATTTAACAAAACGATGAGAACTAAAATTAATTTGAAAATGAAACTCAATTCTGGAGCGCCAATAATTTTGAAAAAACAAAGAAAAGAAACGAAACTACAATTCAATTTAGAAAATTTAAATACTGTTTTTAGCAATTGAATGTTAGTTGGTTTTGGGTTTTGGTTTCGGACAGTCTTGATATTCGTGCTGCCTTTGAAGACTAATATTTTGTATCTTATATTCGTATTTAAATGTATTTCGTGTTATTTGCAGTTTGCATTTTACTTTCATTTATATTTCCTTTTTTATAGGTCGAAGTATTTTGTTTGTTGCTACTGATTTCTGATGTTGTTCTTTTTGTTGTTGTGCCTGTCACAATTATATTTTATAGCGCTGCCTGCCTTTAAGATTTTAGAGTATTTTTTTTTTTTGTTTTTTGTTTCTTGTAGTTGTAATACTTGAAATTTTTTGAATTAAATCGATTTTCTCCTTCTGTTTGTATGCATTTCTTGGGTTCTTCTTAAAGAGTTTTGCTTAAATATGTGTGTAGCTGTTGATGTAGCTGGTTGTGGTGTTTGTTGTTGTTGTTCTTGTTTTTTTTTAAGCTGTTGTGTTGACGCTCTACGCCTTTAAGGCTGGCCGCTTCCTAATTAACCAGCCGCTCCTTAACCCGACGAGGCAATTACATTCTGCTGTCCATCCAAATCTTGGGTCTGCGGAGCCTGGGCCTTGTTCTGACGCACCAGCTCAGCGCGACGTTCCTGCAGGAAAATATAGAGAGAGAGTGTGAAGTGGGGAGAGACACATTAGAAAGGATACTCTGGGGTGATGCTGGTTGCTACAAATGAGGGGCAAATGAAATGGAAGCGTAGAAGTGGAAGAAGAACCTACAAGTTTTTGAACTTTCTCAATTTTCTTTTGCAATTCCTTTTCACGATTTTGCTCGGCGGTGTACAATTTGTTTTCAATAATGCGCGCTTTCTCCTCAAGCTTTTGACTTTCCAATTGATCGACCTGCGATTTTATTTCGGCAATTTTGATTGTGTTCTAAATGAGAGATCAGAAGAAAATGAACAAATAAATAGAAATTATATCAATTATAAAATGAAAAGCTTAGACATAGTACTTAGGCTAAAAAAGGAAAATAAAAATGAACCGAAGCGCAAAGCTAAGCTACTTTAATTAATTTCTAAAGCGCACAGAGAGCCAATTGCAACGGAACTGAAAGCCTTTTCGAGTGGTGCTTAAATGCTTTACAAGGCTCAGTTCAGGCTTAATCAGCTATCAGCTCTCTGCGAGCATTGAACCAAGTGTCTCAGACATTGTCACAACGTCTGCTTGCTTACATGCTCCTTGAGGCGATTCAACATCTTCTTAATATTCTCATCGCGCAAAGTCTGAGCGGTCTTCAATTTCTCCTCAATGGCCTTTTGCTCGTTAACCTTCTGCTGCTCCAAGGTCTCACGCGTCTTCTCAATTTCCTGGGCATGAATCTATCGGAGAAAATATAATGGGTTTGTAAAACATTTCATCGCTCTTCTAGCAGACTGACTGACTGACTGACACACCTTTAGTTTCTCCTTCATGTCACTTATAATGGCCTCGCGTTTCTCCACATGCAGCTCCATTTTCGATTCCAATTGCTCCTTGGTCTGAGTGATAAACTCATTGGTGATCTCATCCTTTTTGCGTGTGGCCTCCTCGACCTTGGCCAGCTTATTAGAGATATCCGCCATTTTCTTGGCCTCCAACGACTGTAATGGATATATTGGAAGTATAAGGAATTCGATATAATAATTGTCTATTAAAATTTTAGTTAATTTGAAAAGTTTAATATGTTTTGAACACTTTTATGTTACCAGTTACATTTTTAGATATACTTGATGTGAATTCGTCACTAGTATGTATTAAAATTCAGCGTGTTAAAGTCGGGAAAACAGCTTAATATTTAACACATTATTGGTAGAATTCGGTTTTATGACTATAGCGCTTTGTATAGTGTACTTTAGCTATGGTATTTTTCGTCACTAATATAGAATATAATCCTATTTTCACTTATAGGCAGAATATAGATAATTGTATATAAAACATAGTATTTAGTACATGCATGGATTACAATCAATCGTTGCAAATGGAGAAATATTTGTTGGACCCTTGCCCCGAACAAGTTCTACGTATTCGGTCTTATAACTATACTCTTTTAAATCTGTTCGTCGCTAGCATAGATCGCAGTGAGTCGATAAAGTAGGCTGAATATGCTTTTGTTACTTCTTTATAAAAATGTCCCTAATATGATTGTTTTCTTGCCATTTCTTCGCTGAATTGTTAAGCTGTATTAATATATTTATATAGTTCATTAGTTTTCGCCACTATCGCTTCTAGAAATAAATCGTTCTAGATTACGCTTTGAATATTTGTAGATGGAGAGTTCAATGTTCCTTCACCACTAGCATAGATTATAAATTAAAATGGGAAAATGTGCATCAGACACTTGTCTTCAAACACATTTTCGCTTATTTAGCCACTATTTATTTTATCGGCACGTGAGTAGATTTTATCACTAGCATAGACTTTAGTTATCATTTGAACTACTCACAATGCGTCGCTCCTCGGCAGCCTTTAGCTTTTGCTCAATCTCCTCAACGCTGACATTCTTGCCCGGTGTGACGGGTCGCTTGGGCACAGCCACATTGGGGGCCGGTTCGGCAAGTATGACCTCATAGCTGAGACCTCCGCGAGACTTCTCCTGGCAGCGTATCTCAGTGGCTGTAAATAGAAACGAGATGGAATCGTAAGTACTACTGTAAAGTTCGACAAGTGCAAGCAAGCTAAGTGGGGAGAAATATATATTTACAAAACCAATACAATAGTTTTTGGGGGTGGAACTACCCCTAAGGCATGACGTCACAGCTGCGGCACTACCCCGTCTGTTGGTACACAAAATTTGGCATGGCTCATTGAGTGGTGCACTGGATAGCAATTTCTTTTCACAATTTTATGCGAAGGGCAGTTTAAGTAAAAATCCCCAACAAAAGTAATGGTCCCCAACCGTGCAGGACCGTCATGTCAAAGGGGTGGAGGGAAGGGAGAAGGGAAAGAGTTGATGCAGCTGGTCGCCTCCTTTCGTGCATTTTCAATACATTAACTTTTGTTTGCATCTTTGGCCTCAATGCCGTTGTTGTTGTTGTGGTTTTTCGCCACACTTGGCGCTTTTATTTTTAAGCGCCTTTTGATTAATGGGAATGTCCGACTGCTTTTTCACACTTTTCGCGAGGCGTTCGGTCATATTTCATATACATATATACACGTATATAGTGTTTGTTTTAAAACGCGAAAACCTCTTGACAATGATATGCAGAATTGTGCCACGACCATTCGAAAAAATGAGAGCACCAAGAACAAAGTTCACTGCACAATTATTTAAATTAAATGCAGTGGAAAACGCAGTTGCAGTTGGCTGCAAATTTCGTATTTTAAAAACAATTAAAAGTTATTGTTTTTAAATTTTTACGCATTTGTTTCAACTTTTACGAAGCTCAAAAGCCGGGTGTGTTTGAGAAGCTATACACGAGTCAATGAGTTGTTTAAAGTTTAAACAGTGAAATTGTTAACTGACTTTGAAAATGATTAAAAAAAAGTCTGTGTCAATGGCTCGATAGGTTAATAAAAGAGCGACTCAACCATAAAAATACCCATATAACAGTTTATATATCTTTTAAATTATAGTGAAGCTATGGTTAGACTTAGAATTAATTTGTACTCATATTTTCAAATAATGTCATGATTAAAATCTTTTATGTTTATCAAACCAATAAGAATTCTACTAAAATGTAAATTTCTGTTACAATAAATTTCTTTAGGTATCACTTGACTGCTGCCAAACACTGTTTTCCAAATATGCTAAAGGTTTGCCAAATAAATAAAACATTTAAGTTATTTCTTTCGACATTTAAAATTCTATAATAGAAAATTTAATTAAATTTCCTTCTTCTCATCCATATAATAGTTCTGCCAGCAACTAAACTATTGAAAGAATACAAAAATACAGACAATCTTCTTTAATACACATAATACATCCTTTTGTTAGTGACATAAATAATGAAGCATCTATTTTCTCGCATTGAAGTTAATCATAAATTGTTTACTTTGCCATCCCAAATCTAACAGAGTACACAACTCAATATAGCAGCTCAGATAAGCAATGCGTATTTGTATGTATATAGGGGACAAATATACGGCTATATAAAATAAACATAAAAATATTGCAAGATAAACAAAGAGTGTGCGCGCAAGTTTCGGAACCTCTTCCCCCAAAAATAATCTGATTCATTGTTAGTCAGTCCGTCAACTGACCCAAGCAGCCCATACCCATGCGGGAAATCACGTCGACAACGCACAAATGAAGTGGAAAATTATTTGTCAAAACAAGAATACTTTGGACAAAGAGCAGATAAGATGTTGATATTGGTTGGTTGCTCAGCCATCTTGTACACTTGGCAAATAATTGTTTTAAATTCAAACAGACAGGGTGAAGAAAGTTTCAATAAACACTACACTTGTTTTAGATTTTATATTCGTTATAGAATTTTTAATATTACTACTACTGATATTTGTGTAAGTAGCTTCAGTTAAACTCACTGAATTTTCAATATAAATTGCTTAATGCCTTAAAGCTATTGCTTATATTGTGCAGGCTACTCCGAATTAATTAAAAAAAAAAAACACTACCTCCAACCTGCATGACGCCATCACCCCACACTCAATTCTACATCTGTCTCCTTAGCCCCATTTTTGAGGTTTCTTCTTAAACAATATTTTGCTCTTTAAGCCCCTCTATACGCCCTCATCAGCCGTGAAGATAATTTTCAATGAATTATTACCTTAATATAATAAAAAAATAAACAAATATTAAAGGAATATAAACAAATCACAACAAACCTTAAATAAAAACTATAATCATAAGTTGATTACGAAAATGCAAGCTATCAACAAACTTATACTACATAGTATGTATATTTAATCTAGATTTTAGTATGCACTGTAATGCAATACTGTATTAAACTAATCTAGTTTTGTTCAGTGTCTTGATTTAGCTTGGACTCATTGAGCTAAATCATAGGAGCTTTCAATAAATAAATAAATACTAATATTTTGGAAATTAATAAAATCTTATTCCTTACGATAACATCACTGAGTTATTAGTTAAATGTTAATATTGGAAGAAATCTTATAAAATACTTTTGGAAACATAGTGTTTAGGGTTATATTTTTAACATTTGATTTTTATGATTTCTTATCAACGATAATTACGCAAGTTTTAACTTTGCGAAGAGAATTTCTAACACATTCTGCCGTTGAAAATGTAATATTGATTGGTTTTTATTTAATTGTCCCTTTGATTTATTTTGTAATGTTTTCTCTCTCTGTATCTAGTCGTATGAGGTGAATTAAAGGTGGCGGCATCCATCTGTCAGCCTGCTTGTCTAACTGCCTGTTCTGGTCTCAGATTTTGCTGTTGACACATAATTTGCCATTATTAGTGAGTGTCAATCATGCCGCAGTCGCCCTGTGCGATGAGTAATGATGATAAAAGTGCCCGGGACCAAGTGTTGAAGTCTATTAGTTTGAAAAATTTGTTACACTTCAATGACTGCCAAAGCCAGACCAGCCTGTTCGCAGTCCCCCAACCCCCCAGAGCTCTACATCTACAGGGGCTATAGGGGCAAGTGTTTTTGCTGGCCATTTGACTTGCAGATGCCAGCCAAACCCTTTTAGTGTGTCATGGCGTATCGGGTTATGTGTGTTTTGTGCGTAACACCCTGTGGTTGGCCCTGCTCGGCTCGGCTGTTGCTCTTCTCTTGTGCCTAAGCAATTTTCTAAAGTGGTTTTTGTGGTTTGGAGAACTTTGCCCGCGCTCTATTAGACATTGCCTAATACTTGTAACTCCCTCCTAGCCTTTCTTTCTTACTCACATTTCTGGGTTGCTGTATCTTTACTCTTCTGAGAATTCATTTGCTCCAATATGTCCAGCAGGGCCTTTGCATCGGCATTCTCATTATGCTTGTCCTGCACATGCACCTGAAGCTCCTCGGCCGTGAAGCCGTGCTCATCACAAAAGGGACATTTGTAGCTTTGTGGTGCTTCCCCATTTACTAGCTCCTCACCCAGGAAGAATAAATCGAATTGATACTGATTGTAAAACGCCTTCATGGGATGATAATACTTGTGCTCGCGCGTCGGCTGATTTTTGCCCTGATCGTAGCATTCACCACAATAGGTCACCGCCTCGCCGCACACCGTACACTCGTAGCGACGGCCCAAATCTCCGTGGGCAGCACAGCTAAGGCAGGTGCGTTCCACCGGTTCCAAGCCTGACATTTTGCCAAATTCTTTTTCGCAAATTAGAACGACTACACGAAAAGTTTATTATTATTATTTTTTTGTTTTTTATAGGCTAGAGGTTTTTTCACGCAATTTTACTTCTGAAACACGTTTGCTAAAATAGATGACACACACAACAGTAAACTGAAGTTAAAGGCACTGGTGTTGGATTGTCATTTCGTTGGAGCTGCCAGCTTGATTTAATTATTCTAGAGACTATATTTCACCTTCATTTAAAGCTGGGGAATTAAATAGACCAGAATGAACATCCCATTTTTTTCGTTGCTTAACTTGTTTAAATAATATTCCCCCACCGGGTCGGAGGCGTTTATTAGATATTATTTTCATTTGATTAGATTTCTCCTTCTTAGGCTTTTCTAGCTTATAAGAAGCGTTTTTATAATTTTTATATATTTCTTATGTCATAAACATCTGTGGTCTATTTCACTAAACAATTATTTTCCACCTGAAGCTTTTTAAACATAATTCCTTAGTTTAAATTCCGGTTGATTTCTGATTTCTCAACATATTCCAACAAAGTCTTTTAAGGGCAGTGTTGGTTCTACTTTGCAAAAGATAATTATGGGTTGTGTATATTATTTATTTTTATGTTGCTGCAAGAAAGCAACAAATTGGAACTATCTTAAGTCTACGTATTTACAGCCTCTATCATGTATTTTTCCTACTAGTTTTCATACGTACTATTATACCTTATCGTATTTATTATTAAATTTGTAATAGGTTTTAACATTAACGAGTTATTTGTTCAACATATTTTAAAGATAAACGCATACAAAAGTTCCATGCCCATGCCATCAATAATCGAGCGGGGCGCTGTTTGCCATTTCCACAATTCAATCCCGCATGCGCCCTATTTAGGCTAATTATTAATATCCGTAGACTTCGTCAATTTCATTGACCATCATGGCAATGGTGCCTTCAGATGTGTCCGAGCTAACTTCCTCCATATCCCCATCGATTTCGTCGTCATATTCGGCATCGTGTTCGCCATTGGCTTCGTTTGCTTGAGTAACTTGTTGAACATCGACGGCGGCATTGTAGACTGCCACGCTCTGTAGGGGCTGTGGGTTCCCAGCACTAACCACACTAACCTCATCGTCCCCGCCAGTTTCGTCATCACCCTCGCCATCGTTTTCGTCATCATCTTCTTCGGAGTCGTCCATGTCGGAGTCGATATAGATAATGGGACTCGGCACAACATCATCGATTGGTACGGGCATGGCGGCAGTGTTAACAAAGTCATTATTTTGGACACTTAGATTGTTGTTGTTGTTGTTGGGGCGATCTTCCCCAGTTTGCTGATCTTCGTTTTCATCGGTACGCTCGTCTGTTTCATCAATTTCATCATCATCATAGGCGAATCGCGTCTCCGGCAAATGTTCAGAGGCGGTCATTTGTTTACATACGTCTTGATTTTTTCCATTAGTCTCAATACGAGTCTCGGCCATACGAGTCTCCAACCAGCTTTTATAAAAGTCTAGCCCCCTTAAAAAGCGGGCCATGGCTTCTACTCCTGTTTTTGAAGCTGGGTCCTTATCGGCATTATCTTCTTTCGGAGCTTCCACCTTGGTAGTCTCTGGCATTTTAAACACGGTCTTCGGAATAGACTCCCAATCTATATTAATCTGCACTTGTGCCAGCTCCTCATCAGCCAGCATTGACAAGAGGAGGGCTTCAGTGAAGCCAGCATGCTTGATTATGTTTGTCTTTTGATGTTCGCTCTTCATTTTCTCAACCTTCAAAAATCGCTTGCATAAGAATTTTCCGTCATTTTTCGAAGTTTGCTGTGTGGTTGGTTTTTCTTCGGGTTTTGTGGCAGCCGGAGTTTTCTGGCTTGATTTGTTTGCTTGATCGGCAAGCGGGTCTCTCACTTTCATTAGCATAGGACGGAAGTCATTGGTGGCCACCATTTCACGCACAATATCGGCATAGCGCTTTTGTAGTTGATTCTGAATCTCGGTGCTGCCTTCCGACGGCGGTATTACAAAATGATCTGGCACTTCGCGGAACATTGTGGCACGCGGCGTCATTGCGGCCCGCGCGCTGAGACCGCTACCGGGGCTTCCCGCAGTCATAGGCATAAAGCCATAAGCGGCGCGTATGTAGCCGTCCCAGTTTCGTGATGATGGTCGTTGTTGCGATGAGCGCGTTCTGGCCAAGTCAATAGGTGAGCTATAACGCCGAAAAGCTGAGCCGGCATCATGGAATCCGGTGCGGAGAGTTTCAAAATCGCTGTTGAAGGGACGTGGAGTCCTCAAGCTTTGACCACGAAGCATACCACCACCACGTGATGTCAATGTTGCTGATGGCACCGTTGCGGTCTCAGCGTATGAGGCAGCCATAAGTCTGGCGGCCATGGCTACAGAGGAATTGGGTCCCACAGCGTTCCGACGTCGGGACAAAAGCGAGCCACGAGTTGTAGGCGCATCGCGCGTAGTTTGTGCGGCAGTGAGCTCGTCCTCAATAATGCGTAAGATGGTTTCGGCATCGTAATGATTTCCGGGACTTGAGCCAACATCCAGGCTACCACGCACTCCTGGGGATACATCACTATGTCGCTGCGATATGCGACGCAGGGAACGTGCACGCTCCAAAATGTTTTGGGATAGGGAATCAAAGTTGCTATCATTGCGATTGAGTCCATGGAGTTCGTCTAGGAGTTGCAAAGCCTGCTCCACGATGGGATTATATTGAGCGTCCAAATTAGCAAAGCATCTCCGACGCTGGCGACGTGAAGCGCTCGAACTGTCTCTAGAGTTGTTTACGATTGGCTTTAGACGTATAATTTCAAGTATGAAACGACGTGGGCCCGGAGGATCAGGACTAAGAGCTCTTTCGGGCACCGGTGGGGCTGTATCTGGAGCTGGTGGTCCTGGCGGTGGGGGTGGAGGAGGCGGCGGTGTCTGCAACATTGGAAGAGGACTTTGTGCTTCGACAACCGGCGGTAGAGAAAATTCGACCGAATCGGCTGACATGCGACTATAGAGTATGCGGAAATACTCTTCAAAATCCTTATGACCCATATGTGATTGATATAAATGCATATACAGCTCTTCGATGTTGAAGCCCATGCATTCGCACAGCGCACATTTATAGCTCTGTGGCACATTGGATTCATCGTAGAACTCGCCCCCAAAGTACAGTTGATATTCAGCACGCGTGTAGTGCGTCTCTAGTGGATGGTAATACTTGTGCTCCGGAGACTCCGGCAAGTTACCAGCATCGTAGCAGCGACCACAGATCTGATAGTCAATGCAGGCCCAACAGGCATAGCGACGTCCAGTAAACTCAGATGCGCCACATTTGCGGCAAGTGTACCCAAAATGACGTTCCGGCAGGTGAGCAGCCATAACTATGTGGCTGTACTGATGAGAAACGAAGTGGTGGGTGATTCTTAATAAGCAGCTTAGATCAATGCAAGAAGTGGCACAATAACTGTAGAAGGAAAGTAAGAGAGTTGAAATCGAAGCAGTGTTCCTAATCTTTCCACACCTTACCTATAAGCCTAGAGTTAAAACAGCTAATTTAAAAGGTGATTCATAATTAAAAAAAGAGAAGTGTATATTGGTAAAAAAAAAAAATTTCTTAGACTTCACAAATATTTCAAAGGGTACTGGGACAGCTTAAAATGTAATTACTAACAGATATGTGGTACAAATATTATTAAAATTAGAAAACGGATTCATTAGCAAACGCATTGACTTTATATAATATCCACGAAAAAAGCTCACAATAAAGTTCTTAAAAAAATTTAATTATCAATAAACGGGGTTAATAGCTTTAATTTTTAATTGTTTTATTATTAAGTTATAGGTGTTTTGGAAAAAATTTTATAGGAAAGATCGTGAAGGCCATAAGTTATACGATTTTGTTTAACACTGAACGGGTAGCTTTTAGGAAATGTGTAGGCGGCAAGTGCTCCTCTAATTGAATCTACCTTTTTTAAAAACAATTTTTGCCATATTATTACTAATAATTTACCTTAATACTTTACTTACTTTACTGGTAAGTAAAATCTTGAAATGAACAAAATATTTGGTGCCGTAAATACCTATGCTTCGTTTTTGGTTGCAAAAATGCTTAATGACAGTTTTAATGCAAAACTGTCAGCCAACGAATGGGCATTACTTTTCTAGTACGTGGCAAAAGCTGGCTGCTACGAGCTGTAATGAATGGTATTTCCCTTTTGTCGCTTTAGCTACGGCGTAGCCTTGAAGTTGCCGCTGAAGAGTGGCGACAAAAACTGCCAAATGCATGACATAGCCGATAAAAAAAAATACACACACACACACAGCCAGACACACGTATGTAAATAGAAGCAGGCATGCAACGGCACTTCCATGCAAGCTTTTACTTCTTTATTTTTTTGCCCGCCGCTATTATGTTTGCAATCGGAGAGGCATATAAACAATTGGCGGCGCCTGATAAAAAACTAAAAAACAATTGCGTGAAACTGACGATCAATGAAAATGTGACGGCGCTACATACAAAATATATGGTCTTTTATACAAAAACGTGCACTATGTTGTGCCTGCCTGTGATTTAAGGAATTGTGCCACTTTTTGCGAAACAAAAACCTTGAATAAATTTACTTACGTGAAGAACTGGCAATTTAATTCGAAAATGTCTTGAAATTAACTTTTTGCTCAATAATTCACCAATTCTTGTTAGCACCACTCACTATAAGCAAGAACGAAAAGTTCAACCGGCGAAAAGAGACAGGAAAAAGAAGCCGATAACCGATAAGTCGAGGTGACTCGCCGTGCTGCCAACTTAGCTTTTTTACACTGGTGTTGTAAGCGCGTTGGTTTCGTGTCGCATCAAATATTGCTCTTGGCGAAAAAATGTACTTGTGTAACGTTTACTGTTCAGAAAAATTGTAAAGAATTTATAAAGCGTATCAGCGTAGCGCACAGAGCAAAGGCAACTGAATAATAATACTCAAATACATAGATGATATTATCTAAGACTACTGAGACGACTTGGCATAAAATTCAAGCAAAACAAAATGTGAACATTTCTTACACGCTCTTTTTGACTGCTAATTTTAGCGTTTAAGTCATGCTGTTAATGTTAAAGCGTTTAGCTGGAAATTTCTGCGGTTTATCGGCGGTCTTATCTATTTATTATAACATGACAGACTCTGATATTTAACATATCCTTTTCATAAGAAAGAAGTTTGATTGATTCAAAAATGATTATTGGGAGAACTGTGTAAGAGATAGTACTTATTTTTAGAAATGTATATGAGTTATAAAATGCGTTTTTTATATACATATTTATAATGCTTATGTGCATAAAACTTATAGATCAGGCCATAATATCAATGTACTTGTATATAATATCATTCAAATGAATAATAAATAAATTGTGTTTACAAATAATTCATTGTAAAATGATATCTCAAAACTCGAAGATAATAAACTTTTGCATTGTGATTTCTCTTCAATAAGTTTTATTTTCCAAGTTTTGCTGCAGACTGGGAGGTTCCTTTTATTGTGTAAGGTCAGGCAAATTTAAATAAATGCAAATGGGTAGTGTATTTGTTGAAACAGGTATTGCATACTTGAAATGCATCTTGATTATAAATTTCAAATTTTAGCGATAGATATTAATGGTTAGAATACTAATGTTACATTTAAGACAATCCTGCGTGTGATTTTTGGCTGTAAAAAGGCTAATGCAATGCGAGTACGTACATACATAGTATGTAGAGTGTTAGGGGCTTGTTAACCCAACACCAACCAAAGCGCAGTCGGCGGCACACACACGCTCGTTTTTCATTGCGTATCAAGAGAAGGGACGGCGCTAAAACAAACTACAAAAAAACTACAAACTCTCATTAACAAAATAAGCATCATTATAAAAATGTAAAGCACCGGAAAATGCAAACACAACACACACACATATATATGTACATACTCTTACGCAACACAAAGTTGACCTCAATTAAAATATTTTTCGCCTTTTTCGAGAGTTTGCAAACTCGGCATTATAAATTGTATAAACGAGTATGTATGTATATATAGAGCTGTTGACATTTTACGCTTTTAATTAAAACGCATGTTAACGCACATATGTATATGTATGTACATAACTATATACTCGTATAGTATAGACTAGTATATGTGGATAAATTTGAGTTAAAATGGTGTGTACGATGACTTAGAATTTGATATAAAATTGGGCATTATTTTAATTAAAATGGCATGAGAAAGTGTTGATGACATGATTTACATTAATTAAATGCTAGTATACATGATCCATCCCATCAATTAATCCGGGGGTGGGATTTAAAATACGATTATGATGAAAGTTTTGATTGGCGGGGGGGGGGGGGGGGGGGGGGGGGGGGGGGACTGAAGAGGGAGGATGGATATGTGTGTGCCTTTGTTTGTTTGCTGGCTCTGCAAAAAGCCAAAGGCCGCCAACACACTTCGCACACTTGCCGCCCATTAATGAAGCCATGCCCACAGACACTCAATTACACGATAAAAATTGTGACCCAACAAGTTTGCTTTTGGGCGTTACGCGTTTGTGAATCGTTTATGTTGTTAATGGCTGTGTTCGGGCCAGAGGTTTGCAATGTGGGTGCTAATGAAATATTTCGAGAATGATGGGAAAACTGCGAGGATGTTAACAACTGCACATGTTAAGAGTTGTTCAGCAATTGAATATAGATGGGGGTTTTCAATAGATACAAAATTTTAAGATTTAAATTAAAAGCGAGCTTTTATTTATGTAGAAAGAGTTTCAGTTGTGCGTCTGAATGAACACTAAGCCCTCGTAATCTTGAAAACCAACAAAAATTAATGAAATTTGGGATTTAAGTTCAAGACAATACTGTAACTTACTAATAATGCGACAGTAATTAATCCAATTGAGTAAAATATGTCTATATATCTCCCTAAATATTTGCAAGAAATCTGAAGTTTAAAAGAACTGATAGTGTTTTATTTTATTCTCTTTCTGAAGATGCGTTAAAGAGTTTCTCTTCAATATAGTCTGTTGAAATCATGAAAATTTGTTTTTTTAGAACATAATTGTGGGACATAATTGACCAAAACATTATAGTAAATAATATTAAAAAGTCTGAGGTCAGTGAACGAGAAATCTTCTGGGCTCTATTTTATATAGCTTTACTAGATGGACTGCTTCAGATTTGACGTGAATGAAAAATAGAAAATATATTGTAACTTTCTCCAACTCTTTCATCAGGTTGACTATAACGTTTCAACTGCTAGTGAAAATGAAACTCCAAGATTCCAAAGCAGAGACTACGAAGCCAAAATCAAAATGATTTTAGGGTTTCTGAGTTGAAATTGCAGCTTTATTTAACATTTCTAAGGCAATATTCAAATGATTTTTTGGTTTCCGATTTGAAATTGCAGCATTCTTTATAATTACTATGACATCATCATACTTATTATTCAACAAATTTTGGATCTGTAAGGTTTTCAACTCCAGAAGCTATTTCTGAAGTGTCGTCCTCATTCGTTTTTGGCATCACTTCCTCTTGTTGAGTTTTTTGTTCTTTCAAGTTCCACACACACACCAACACACACACATACACACACACATACACACACACATACTCACATGTATAGACGGACCGAACCTCTCGGAAAGTGCTTGAAAACTTTTGCTTGTTCCATTTGCAGCATGAAACTTTTACAGTAGCATTTCAATAATTATCATCAAAGCGAGCTTTCACACACACACACACACCCATGCACACATAGAAACGCAGAGACTGTCAGCCTAAATGTATGCTCCAGAAAACAATGCCAACCAAAGTTGAAAGTAAAGAAATATTGTCGAGTAAGCGAACAGACCGAGAGTAGGCAATAAAATATAAGTGTCTGCTTAATATTCATAAAAGCATTTTAATTTGCATTTAATTAAATTATTTTCTGCCAGCATATAATGAAGCAAGAGCATCACATGTGGCTTCGGGGGTGAAATGTGGACGCAAGCACATGTAGCATGTTAAAACTTTTCATGTCGCTATCGTAGCTAACTGAATTTTGCTGTACAAGTTACTAAAAGGAGTAAGGATATGGGAAACTTTAGTTCGTACACACTATAATGACTTCAGTACGAGCTAAGAACACGTAATTATAAAAAAACATCCCATTGTGGGTCTTATAATTATGAGAAAACTTTGTAAGCATTTCTTGTAGATATTAAAAATGTTTAAAGCCATGATTGGCAGTTAGTTTTGACCTTTTATGATTTTAATTTTTAAAGCCCAATTTCGGTTACTTGAATGTTACTTTCAAAACGATTTTTGAGCTAAAATTTAGAAATTAAACAGTAAATAACAGCAAATCAAATATGATCTTGAGCTTAAAAATATAATGTCTAAGCAATTGTTTATTTATTTTTGTATTATTGTTTTAATTAAATAAGAAACATACTACCTATTTGAAAGCTTAATCTAGATTTGACATATTTTATTTAAAAATGAAATTACAGAACTTTGTCTATAATTTGTTAAAAGTGGATTGAGGTTGAAGGTTGAAGATTCGGGCGCACACATCGCTAGCAGTAGTCTTCAGATTTGCAACTACATTTCATATTGAAAGTGTATACAAATTTGTGCGTCGACTCACAAAACTGCAACCACTTCATATACATATAAGCCTGTACCTATACTCCTATGCTCGTATATGACTCACATGCAGGAATTTAAAGCGCTAGCCTGCTGTCTGTATGTAGGCAGGCCTGTCAATTAGAAAATCATTTACCGGAATTTGACACAACGCACAAAATTGAATTAAAAATTTGCATAGTACTGTGTAGTTGCGGAGCCAAACCCATCGATGTGCGATAATTGTTGCTTCCCCGGGCCTGTTAACGAGGCCTTATTGTTGTTGAAACACAACATGGTTGGCATGTGGAATATTTGATTATTTCAATATGCGTTAAAAATTTGAATTATTAATTGTTAAATCCCAGATATTTATGTATATATTTGGCAGATAAACTTTTCGTACCATAAATAATAGCGCACTTACTATTTAAATTGATGGCCACCATATTTGACACGTTCCTTATCTAATCGGATAAATCAATGCAAATCAAACGTCAGTCCGCCACTGGCACTCACACACATACACACACAAGCACAAGCACGCCCACACACACACGGCAATACACACAACCGACACGTAACTGTGAAATATTCTACACAACGCTCGTGGCTGTTGACGCCCAGAAATGCGCTAACCAACTGACTGCAAACGGGTGCCACAAAAAATGTGAGTCCAGTGGCGAGCCAAAGCGACAAAAAACAGGACGCCACTGCTGCTGCATGTTGTACAAGTATGTTGTTTGAGTGACTGTAAAAATGTAGTTTTAATTTATCCGTGTAGTTTGCTTTCTGGCATGTGTCGCAAAAGGGCCGAGGCAGGCACGTTGGCCGTTGTTGCCATGGTCCTTAGTAGTCGCCTGCGACATTGTGAAGCCGTTCGTTGTTGTTTTTAAGGCCTAATTGCCATTTGCAGTGCAGCAAAGAGGCAGAAACTATCAGCTGAGTGGATTCAAAGCTGGCAGAGCACCAAAACAGCTGATGAGTCAGACGCGCGAGTTAGACAAACGTCGGGGTTGGTCTTCCCCGAATTGAGTGAGAAAACTATCAGAAAATTGAGTCGGAATGGAAGAAATTATATTGAGCTACCACCGGCTTACGATTGCAAAATTTGCAATGCCTGCTGGAGTTCAAATATTATTTAGAACACTCTGAACTAAAAATGGAACCGATTGTAACGCATTGTGGATATAGCTTTGCAGGTTTTTACAACATTACTTAAATGTATATGTATAATATATTGTATAACAAGTATATAAAATGCAGCAATT